TGTCATAACCGAGGGGAACCCAGATTTGTATGAGACCCGGAACGAGACAGACTCAGGTGGAATACAAAGAAAACGGTGTTTATTTACAAGGTGAGAAACAACAGTTCAGGTACAGCTCCTCTGCAGCTCCTGGAGGAGGTAGAGGAGCAGAGTCAGGACGAGGCAGAGTTCCAAAAAGGTTGAATGATTGTTTTCTGTGAATCTCTTACAGTTTGATCCAGAGGTGGGGTCCAGTCCTCCGGGGAGCTCCAGAGAGAGAGTCCGGTGGCTGGCAGGGCAGGCACTGGCCGGATTAGAGGCACCAGGCAAAGGAATCCAGGTGCAGGAAAGAACAAACCAAGGAGGGACCCAAGGGGGTCAGCAAACCAGGAACAGGTCACGAGGAGGTCCAGGGAACACAGAACAGGACACGAGGAGTCCAGAATCAAAGGATCACAAGGGGCCCTTTGAACAAGCCGAGGAACCAGGATTACTAGGAACAAGAGAACAAAGGTTAGTACTAGGAAGACTAAGCCTAAAAGGCTTGAAGCACAACTACCATGAAAGGTGATATGCTCCAGCGAAGAGTAGCACTGGACTGCAGCCTTTTGTAGTCGGAGAGCCTCCTCAGTCTGATGGCCGTCAGGTGTGATTAATTAGCGGCCATCTTGGAGGAGGAGCTGCAGGCAGTGGTACTCTTACAGAGTGTGGCAATTGATGTGCATTACAGTCCTGTCTCAGGAGGATGTTGAAGACGTTTACATATTTGGATTTATGATAGCAGGGACTCTGCTTTTTGGCATCGGCGAGGCTCTGTTTTATCGACTCTTGAAGAAGACATCGGCAGCAGTTTTGGCCATGGAAAAGCTTCCGAGTCAGTGTGAAGGTCTGGTCCTCGCTGTGGGAACTTTAAATCGTCTGGTCTACGAGCTTAACCATAAGGTGGAGGCGATTGAGAATCGCAGACCACCTGCGGCTTCTGGGACTCATCAGCGTGGTGGGTTCTACCTTGAAGGAGACTCATAGCATGGATCAGTGGACTGTAATCCCACAATTACCTACATTTTCGGAACCAGAACACCCAGATGGACTCAAGGCTGAAGAAAAAAATATGTCTGCCTGAAGAAAAAATAAAAATCAAGCTTATCTGAATCAGACTCCCAACGGCCTTGGAGACAAGCTGACTATCAAATTTCTCCTGGGACATGAGTAACCAAGGACAAAAGCTTCATCTATCGCACCCCCCACGAGAACTTTCTGTGCAAGCTTATCAGAACTGCTGGCTGGAACAACATCTTCAGAAACTGTGGCTGATCTGAAAAAACACTCATGGACAAATCTCAACACCTCAATGTCAAATGCAAATGTAATCATGTTTTAATTGTGCTTGCTGGTAGAGTTTTTTGATGTCTCAAATCGTGTCCTGATAGACAAGATGTGAAAGATCTTTTTTTGTAATACCACTATCTACCCTCATGTTTCTCCCCCTTTTCCTATCTAAGATTAATATCTGATAAGGATAAAATGGCCGCGCTCTCCTGTAGTTGCAGCTTCGTGCACTCCGCCCATCTTTCGGACGACTGTACGTACATATTCGCGTTGTACCTCGGTGCAATTCCAATAAAGTTTATTCTGATTCTGATTACCCTTGTGTCTAAACCTAACCCTAAACCTAACCGCCAGACCCTTTACTCTAAACCTAATCACATGAAGCTGTTATGAGCACTAACAAAGCTAAAAACAGGGCCTGACATCCTGATGCATGCTCAATAATCCAGGTAGAAAAATCAAAAAAAGTTAAATCTAGTCCTCTGGACATTCAAAACAGCCTGGCATCGACTGGAGGTCTTCTGAAGTATTTTGTACTCATGCAGTTCATCAAGGCTATGGTCCACAGGTGTGGCTTGTTGCCGCCATCTTGTCACTGCAGGAAGCTGACTGAACTCTCACAGAGTCTGCACTTTTTGCTCTCGACGAAGATGGTCGCTTCACCTGTTCCTGCCTCCCACCTGTTTTTAGCTCTCTTGTCCTGTGAACCTTTTATAGAGCCTTTCCCTGCATATCTTCTAAACTGTAAATCATGGATTTGGTCAGCTGGTCTCTCAACACAATTGACAAAAATTTTCTCAACAAAAAGACAGGGAGTAGGAGAGCTCTCATGCCCTGAAGGGGCATTCATTTCGGGATCCTTTGAGGATATAGAAGACACATACATGATTGGATTTATGGTTGCAGTATTTCTGCTTTGTGGAATTGGCAGGTTTCTGGCATATTGACAAATTTGGAAGACGTCGGCAGCAGATCTGGCATTTTTGAAGCTGCCAGCCATGTGTGAAGGAATGTGCCGTGCTTCGAGTGCCCAGACTCAATAGCTTCTTGAGCTAAGCCATAAGCTGGATGAGATTTCTGAGAATCGCAGGCCACTTGCGGTTTCTGGAACTCGTTGGCAGGAAGGATTCGGCCTTGGGGAAGGCTACAAGCACAGCCCGGCAGAAAGACCACAAATCTGGCTGTTTTGGACTCACCATTGAGAAGTACCAGCAGAACTTTTGAAGGCAGACATAAAAAAAAAAAAAAATCAAGCAGCGTCTGCCTGTCCGAAAACATATGTTGTTATCAATTCTGCCTCCCCTGCTTGGCCTTGAATAGGCCAGCTATATCATATTATCCCAGAGATTATGTGAATAATGACTCTCTGCTGCTCCTCCCCTCTTCCTACCCCCCTCTCCCAAGGACATCTGTGGGCCTTATCAGAGCGGTGCTGCTGATATACACTGTACCATCATATCAGAACTTTGGAACTTTCTGGCAGTGTCCATGGACAACTCACTGCCTTTGTTGACCTCCTCATGCATAAATGTATTATGATGTCATTGTATGTTGCCATTTATGTTGCTAGGTCTTTTTTTGCATTTTTTACACTATGCCCCGGCAAGGACATGGTGTGAAATATGATTTTTTTTTTTTTTTTTACTTCCTCCACCCTTGTGTTCTCTTTTCCTCATCTACTTTGTAAGTTTGTATGAAACAGGTCTCTCTTGTAAATGAGTCCTCGAGGCTCAAAGGGAACTAACCTGCATAAATAAAAGTTGAATGAAAATAATGTTCTCTCAGTGCATGTGTGGGTTTTCTCTGGGTACTTCGGTTTCCTCCCACAGACCTTAAAGCTAATTTGTTTGTCTTTATGTGGCCCTGTGATGGACTGGAGACCTGTCCAGGGTGTCCCCTGCCTCTCACACAGTGACTGCTGGCTATGGACACCAGTGACCCCCATGACCCAAAAAGGATGAAGCGCATAAAGATAATGGATGGATGGAATTATAAGCATTGGTGTGTTTGATTAATGTTGAATGGCTGTGGAGAATGGCTTGAATAGGATTGACTCCAATTGATATTTACTTGTAAATGTACATTTGATGGATAAATTCAGATGTTTTTTATTATACTTAATTCAATGGATCATTTGCCTTAAAACTAACCTATAAACAAAAATGAGGTTCCACTGTATTCAGATTGGGCTTTGGTCTCCAAAAAAAAAAATACTGGTCTTAAAAACGTGACAATGCAAACATAATGACTGAATCATTACTTAAAAGGTGGAAGATTATTCAGAGCACATAAAAAATTACACAGATTTGCTATGCACATTTTGAACAGCAAATTCCTACGTGATTGTGATAACAAATCCATAATTTTTGATGTTCTGTTTCATAAAAATAATTCAGATGTGATAAACAATTTTAACTGTGTATCAAACATTCATTCTGTAAATATTTATTTTTTTAATTTTTTTTAATGATAGTTTGCATGCAGTAATAAAACTAACCCAAAAGACCGAAAGGGTTTAAACGCCACAGTTTTCTCGAACAGGCAGGTGAGATAAGCGGTGGGTCAGTGAACTGAACTGAAGTAGGACAGAAAAGATGAGAGGTGCTGTCATGGCTGCTGAATAAGATGTATGCGAGCGTTACATTCAGGTGACCTTCCTTCTCTTCTGTAATCTGCTTTGCAATAATTCTCAAATCTCATCACCTCCTCTGTCTAACTCACTCCAACCTTTTCCTTTCATTCATCTTTCCTCTCAACATCACCATACTTTCATCTTCATTCCTTCAAATTAATTTTATCCTTTCCTTCCTACCTTTTTACCCTCTCACCTTTTTTTGCCCATTTTCCTTTTTTTGGACATTATTAGCGTTTTATTTTTATTCTCTGCATCCTTTAATACGCTGAATAGTCTGTTTTGTTTTTATTCATTATAAATGTTTACTCTCTGTAGTCATGTACATAACATGCCATCAATCTCTTTCTCGCCCTCCCTTCTGTG